AGTGTTCGTGAGTATAGACCAATTCAGTCCATAGAGCCAAACCGAGCTGAATATTTGGTTATTCTTGCTTGGCTCACAAATAAAAAAAAAAGGCTCTAGTTCAAATTAGAGACTTGAGCTCGAATTTGGCTTGACTTAAAAAGCTCATATGTTGGTTCTCAATTTGGCTCAAGCTTGATTGTGAGTCAAGGTCCCTATAAAAATAAAAAATATACATATAAAAATTAATTAATAATTATAAAAAAATATTATTATACATATAAAAGATAATACATACATACATGTATATAAACTTGATTAAGCTAGCAAGCCTCAAAAGTCAAGTTTCATTGGGCTTGAGCTTCACTAGATTAGCAAATGAGTCTATATAGCTCAAGCTCAATTTGAAACTCAGTTTAGATGGAGTAGAATCGAACTTTTCATAAGCTAAGATTGAATAACTCATGAAAAATTTGATTCATGTCAACCCTTAGTCCATATTAGGGTGTGGATTCAACTGGGCTATATTGCATTTTTTTTATTCATGTTTAAATCTTGTAGATCAATCTACGCCATACACACACATACACACACACACACACACTAAAGTAGAGCTTGCCACGTCATATGACTTCTCTTTGCCCCATTACCCAAACCAAGAAAATATCGAGGGGGTGTAAGATTCTCTGTAGAAGCCCATGGAATTGCCACATGGCATGGCAATCTCCCTTTTTAGCCCCATTAATTTAGGAAGAAAACCCACTAATCTCTTCTTATAATCTCTCTCTTAAAATCTCTCTCTCTCTCTCTCTCTCTCTCCCTCTCTCATGTTCTGGAACACTTAGCCTATTCCCTCCTAAAATTTCTCCTAAACTATCTCTCCCACCAAAAATTCATCCTAAAAACACCTCTTAATCTATATTACCAGACATAAACCATTTAAAACCCAAAAAATGTGGTTAAACTAATAAGTTAAATTAAGGGAAAATTTCTTAAACTACCCTTATAGTTTAGCAAATTAACTAACTATACCCCTACTATTTAACTATTGTCTTGCCCCACAACGAACACTCTCACCGGCGTAACTAGTGAACTCCGGTGGTGACTAGTGAGCCCTCTCTCTCTCTCTTCATTGTTCAGTTGTTCCTCTTCTCACTTCTCCTTCTCACTCTCAGAATCCCAGCTAAGCTCATTTATTAAACGCGAACTCAGGCACCGACGGTGAGTCCTTTCTCTTTGCCCTTTTGTTCTATTCCTCTCTTATTGTTTGCCTGGCGGCGAACACATGCACCAGCGCCGAACACAGACACAGGCACTGACCTATCTTTTTGTTAGGTCGGGCTTCGGACTCGAGCTCAGGCCCGGGCTTCGGGCTTTGTATTAGGGCCAGGCTTGGGCCCAAGTTGTAGGCCCATTGGTCGGGCCAGGCTCGGGCTTAGGCCTAACAAAATCCTATTTGTGAAGAGTAAAAGCCTGGCCCATGAACAGGTCTAGTCCCCATTAAGGTAGTCTCCATCCCTATCCCTGCCTAGTTAGGGAGGCCAGATACTCGACAAAGATGGGGAAAATTGACATCCCTAGCCTTAGCTTGTGTAGCCCCATAGAGCAATAAGTTTTAAGCACAATAAAACCCAACATATTTTTCCCGTGCGTTGCAAAGTGGCGCACTAATCTATATGTATACTAAATTAATGTTATGCAATGTCAAATAGCCTCTTTGTGCTCCATTGCCCCAAGGGAACAATTTTAGAGGGGGTGCAAGATTCTCTCTAGAAGCATTAGAAATTGCCACCTAGCATGGCAATCTCCCCTTTTTTTTCCCAAAAATTATCACTCCCAAAATCATTCATTATTTTTCTCAACACTCCAGAGAATTTCCTCTTTTAAAGCATATTTAATCCCCTTGGTTATAGGCATCTCTATCTCTCCCCCTAACCGTTACCCCAATCCTAGCTTCTAATTCGTTAACTTTCTATTTCCTCAAAATGCAATTAGCTTGCCACTTCATTCATGTCCTCCCTCTCCCATTGGACCACATCATCTCTCTCAAAAAATCATATTACAATATTACAGAAAAGTTGCCAAAAAATTCCGATATAAGAGGAAGTTACCAAAAAATTGGGGACTTGCTTCATTTAAGAGGGAAGCTGCCAAAAAAAATAAAACAGAGAACTTGCATCATTTAGGAGGGAAGTTGCCAATTAGAGTAATGTAATTGGAATACAAAGTTAAACTAAAACAATTGTTTTTCATGCCATTCAAATTATGTAGAAAAGAGAATGACAATCAAATGCATGGTTTTTAAAATCGAACCGGTGACTGAATTGGTTAGGGTCCGGTTACCGGTTCGAACAGTCTGACTGTTCAATTTGAACGACCGGCTCGTTCTAACAAAAAATAAAAAAATTTTAAAATTGGAAAACGGTCAAAATCGTTCAAACGATTAACTGGCCGATTCAGTGATTTGCTGATTAAAATCAACGATTTTAGGGAAAAAACAGTTTTGGAGGAAAACATGACCAATTCTCAGTTTTTCGGGTCCAATTTTAAAAACAGTAATCAAATGAGTAGATAGGGTGAAGGAATTGATAGTGTGGATTTGAATAGAGAGGTAATCTTCTTAAAAACTCTAAGGGTTTTACAGGAACAAGCATATGTATGACAAAAGTAAAAAATAATAATAATAAAAAAAATAAAAAAGACAACACCAAACAAAGAAGTGAATGAAACTTTAATTCTAATCTTGTTAAAAAGTCAGGAGATGGTATATGTGAACTTTTCACTTCTAAATGGGCCACCCAAGCACCCTCAACGATGTCAACACTCTGTCTTGGAGATGGAGACCTCTCGGGACTGGGAAGCACGTACAGAACATCCTCCTTCCTTTTCATTATTATTCAACGGTGCATTTAAGTCTCCAACTAATAAAACAAGGTGATTGGCATTATGAAGTAGGGGTGTCAATGTACCGATTTTGGATTGGACGGACCAATAAGATGTATTAAATTTGTATGGATTGGACAAGCCAATATGACATATTGAATTGGACCTGGTCCATTCATAATGAATTTATATTGGATTGAGCCAATATCTAATTCATAGAAGATAAGAACATAGGTGTCAATGGATCAGGTTTGAGTTGAAACCAATCAAAATTAACAGAAATTTGAACAGATTGAACAGTCTCTGGACCAGTCCGAAATAGTTCAAAATATTCATTAAACTGAATTAGATCAGATTCATTTGTAATGAATTCACATTGAACTGGATCAGATTGGACCAAATCCAGTGCAATTGACACCCTTATTCTTAATCAAAGATGAGATTTCATCAAGGATTGGTTGTCTCAAGCTTGTGACTGGGTGACCGTAAGCACAAATTAAGGTCCAAATAAAATGAGGAGTGTTCAGAATGTCAGCCATATATGTATAATATTACAAGTGTGATGCACTACTTGAAGTGAAGTTGAAGCATCGATCCCAACCAAGCCATAAACCACCAACTCTACCCATACTATCAACAACAAAATAATGGTAATTTTGAAATTTATATATTTAAAATAGATGAAACTTTATCAGCTTTACAACGAGTTTCTGAAAGAAAGAAAATATCGTTATCTCCTGGAATGCAAGGTTAGGCTGATGAGGAACTAGGAACACTTTCATCTTAGTGATGAAATCTGGGTCAGAGTTGCTGCTTATATGATCTTCAATGTCGAAGCGAAGTGAGCACGCTTCAATTGTATGCCCCATATGTCTATAAAGATGGCAGAATGGAGGAAGACGTTCGAAACGAATTGAAACCCATATGGTTTGGTTATTCATATGGGTGTATGGGGGCTTTAGATATATACCAAAGGTTGATGAACATTTATGTATGCTTACATTAAGAGGTATATTGGTATATTAGTACCGGTGAGTCCATATCATTAAATTTGAAGTCTGAAGTCTGACATCCGAAAGTGTTATAATTACATTAAAAGGCATATTGGTATTGATAAACTTTTTTTTCCTATGATCTCATCTCTAAATATAGAGAATGTTGTTCTAAATCCTGAAAATTATAAAATATCCATTTTAATCCCATATATGAAAGTTTTGTTAATCTTTTTGAGAGTAACGTTGAAAAACAAAATATTGAATGATTGCACTTTAAGAAATAAGAAGAAAAGAAATTCATGTTTATCCTCACCAAAATCCACAATACAATACAATGGTCCCTTTCCCTTGGGTTAATTACCGTTGACAATTCTTGAATTAATTGTACGTTGCAACACCCCATCCGATATGGCTAGTGGCAATTGATAAGATGAACCGTTTCATCATCAACATCATCATAGCTTTTTCAAACTCAAAACATATATAAAGACTCGTTGCTTCTTATAAAGGATGCGGCCATTCATTCTTCTTCTAGTGGTAATTATCTCAAAAATGACCAAGTACTGCACATGCATTTTCCTAATTGAATCGTCTCACGCATGTAATGTTACATTGTTCAACCCAAAATGTTTCAAGTACAACAAGGGTTTGACTGTGATACCGAAAGATCATCTACCCAAATACCCAGCAACCGAACCGACAACCCGTATCATAAAAGTGATGATGATATTAATCAAATTCAAAAATCACCCCCGGGGCCGGGGGTTGTGAAATGTGAATAATCAAGGCCGGCATCAGAGATTTTCATAAAACAAAGACGGTGATGTGGGGTTTTGTTGTGTAGTGCATTATTAATAAATTAATCATATAACTTAGTTATATGACGTGTATCCGTACGTGCTATCATTTTTAGACCCGGACCCACTATTCAACCAATGGGTCTATAAAATGAGAGTGTATGTGTATCCATACCCTGATTGCTTCATGCTTCAAGCAAGGGCCATCAAATATTTGTGAGCCGTCTGAATCATCAACTACTGTATCTCCCACGGATCTCTCTTCTCCCGGTCCAATCATTAAAAACAGACGGTTGAGATCATCGATGGTCCCGATTATTTATTAAGAAGGACCATGCATTGCCATTATTCCATTTAATACTTCACAATAATGTGTGGGTTGCTGGATGTTGCATCCAAGGTGGAAACTGGCAACTGGCAATTGCCTAGGAATCCGATCTCTCGAAGCCGAAGACACCTTTTTTGAATCCATCTCCTCCCTTAATCCCTTCCATAGTTCCAATCTCTGGGTTGCTCTGTTTTTATTTGTAAGTCCCCTCTCTCTAGATTCTCAATTCCAGCTTTGACTGTTGTTCTTGCAACTCTCTTGTTGTGCCCATGTTCCAAATTTTCAATCCAAGTCTTCAGTTTGTATTTGTTGACTGTATTATATTTGAAAGGCAGAATCTCTGAAACTTGTTTTGTGGAGTAACAGATATTCCCTAATCTTAATTGGGTTTCTCCCAAGTTTGAAAACTTCCGTGTAGAAATATTGTTCCAGGTCTCCAAAGTACACAGAAAAGAAGATGTCAGACTTCTTTTTGGCATCGATTAATGGTGACATGAAGAGGTCTCCAGGCCAAGATCTGCTAAGCGCCGTGTTACCTCTGATGAAAATCCTCTGCCTCAGTATGGTAGGTCTGATTCTCACACACCCAAAAACCCAAATTATCCCAAGGGCGACTTTCAAGCTCCTCAGCAAGCTCGTGTTTGCTCTGTTCTTGCCTTGCCTTATCTTCATCCACCTTGGTCAGTCAATGACCCTCAGAAATGTTGTTAAATGGTGGTTCATCCCTGTAAACGTGCTGTTCAGCACATTTATTGGTTGCATGTTGGGCTGCTTGGTTGCGGTCATATGCCGTCCATCTCCCCAGTTCATTCGGTTCACCATCATCATGACTGCATTTGGAAACACCGGGAATATCCCTCTTGCCATTGTTGGGTCGGTCTGTCACAGTGCAGATAACCCGTTTGGACCTAATTGTCACAGAACTGGTTTTGCTTATGCCTCCTTTGCCCAGTGGGTTGCTGTAATTCTTGTCTATACACTTGTCTACCACATGATGGAGCCTCCGTTGCAGTATTATGAGGTCGTCGATGAGGGGGTCGAGAATCTTGAGATTGAGGAGCAAACACCAGTTAACGACATCAGTAGGCCTCTCCTTGTTGAAGCTGAATGGCCAGGCATTGAGGATAAAGAAACTGAACATTCCAAGACACCCTTCATTGCCAGAATTTTTAACAGCATCTCAAGTTTGTCACAGGCTGCTCTTCCTGATCTTGATCTCACTGAGGAAGGAAGCTGCAGCAGTCCTAAGTCCATTAGGTGTTTGGCAGAGCCGAGGGTTGTCCGGAAGATTAGAATTGTTGCTGAACAAACCCCAATACAGCACATACTTCAACCCCCAACAATTGCTTCTCTGTTGGCGGTCATCATCGGGGCAGTACCACAAATCAAGAGTTTCGTATTCGGGTATGATGCTCCACTTAATTTTATCACAGACAGTTTAGAAATCTTGGCTGGTGCAACGGTGCCTTCCATAATGCTTATTCTTGGAGGAATGCTTGCAGAAGGACCCAATGAGTCTAAACTGGGGATTAGAACGACAATTGGTATTACAGTGGCAAGGCTGTTGGTGCTTCCTTTATTGGGGATTGGGGTTGTGGGTTTGGCAGATAAACTGAACCTACTGATTGATGGTGATAAGATGTACAGATTTGTGCTTTTACTGCAATACAGTACCCCAAGTGCCATCTTGTTGGGAGCCATTGCCAGCTTGAGGGGTTATGCAGCTAGTGAGGCTTCAGCTCTCCTCTTCTGGCAGCATGTCTTTGCTATTCTCTCACTCTCAGTTTATATTTTCATCTACTTCAAGCTGATCTGATATGTTGGAAATTTATACATGTGATGTCTTCTTTCTGCTTCTCTCATTTATTGTATTCAGATGGGATTCCCCTGCTTGATTACGATTTATTACTACTTGTTGATTATCAATGCGAAAATGGTTTTCTTTCATTGAACTATTTCCTGAGCAGATCTGCTATAACTCTCAAGGCAAACAATAGAACCTACAACCGAACTGACTGACTTATTTCAATGGCACAAGACTTCCAAGAGCATTTAAACCAAGTAGACATGATATCTCTGTGAAGTAAAAAACATTTCAGACTTGTAAAGAGCATTCAAAGCTCAATCAGATGCAATTGTCAGTTCCCCTTCAGAAAAATGTAATGCTTAATGGCTTACATTGTTTGAGACTTTGAGTTCTGGCCTCTGGGAGAGTTTGGTTGAGTTCTTATACAAAAAGGGAAAAAAGTTGAATTGTCAGCCTCCTGATGGATGGTTTCCGTTATGATTCCTATCAATAGGCTAGTAGGTTTTTCTTGTCAAACTGAGAAGGGTGATATCCAGATACGGAAGATGTTTTAATATTGAGCATAGTAAGGCATTTTGTTTTTATCATTTCTTTCTTTCTTTCTTCTTCTTCTTCTTGCTTTTTGTTTTTGGGGGAAGTCAGTTGGCCATAACTAACAAAGCAAAGGAAATATGTACTACAAGTAGCATCACCAAAGAAAAGTTATCTCCAAATTTTGATTTTTAGATATTTGGTTGCTAGCAAAATTCCTGGGGAAATAAAATGTTATCCAAATCTAAAATAAGAAGGTCAAATTGGAAAGTTGTGTCCTTTCTGAATCTATTATAACCCCATGATTCCATTTTACGTGTTCATGTTGAAGTTCCAATCAAACACTTTAATTTTTGTCAAAATAATATTTTTACGAGAAAATTTCTTGATTTTTTTGCATTGCATAATATTTATTTGGGAATTGGGATCCAAAGACAGCTTAAACAAAAGGGAAAAGGGAAGAAACAACCAAAACCAAAACAAAATGGAATGGAGAGAGAGAGAGAGAGAGAGAGAGAGAAGGAAGGTAGTACTTTAGCTCATACTGAACAAGAAAACAATTTTACTATGTTTAGTTAGAGTGGACGATTGGACATCAAGGTCGGGTTGGACGTGATGGGACTTCGTTTCTTCTTCAGAATATGAGAAAATACTCGCAAGCGTAGAGCCAAAGTGAACTACAGGGAGAGAACCAAGGGGTACATAGGGAAAAACAGACCTCCAATTCCATGGAAAAGAAGTAATCTGTTGTTCCAATTTAAGTGAGACTGCACCTCTCTATGTAATAGTTTAAGCATTTGCAGTGAAGGTTGACAAATAGTGTAAGAAACCTGAGTAATAATTAGAATTTAGAAGCCGCATTTATTATTCTTTTATGCCCAAAATAAAAATAATTAGAAGCAACAGTCTGGGGTATCTGATTTGAAGTTCTCTTTTATCTTTTAGTCCCAAATAATTCAGATTTCCTTCTTGTTCCCACATTGCAATTCTGTAACTGGAGAGCTGTTTGTTTATGCCCATGTTGGCCTTCACTACTAAATGGTAGATGTAGAGGAAATACTGGAGAACAGTATCACATTCTGGGTCTCCAGGAAGATACAAGAAAATGTGATCTTTACCCTTTAGGGATTGGAGCATTTCTAATATGATCCACAAGGATGATCAGTGGCCTATTCAATTGGCAATTCTGGGCTTTGTATTTGATGTAACACAGGAAAGGTCTCATTATACAGTCGTTTTACTGGAAGAGATATGTCGCATGCATTTGCTTTTGGAGACTTTTCAAGGGATGGAATAACTGATTCCTGAGATGAAGACCCTTGTGAAGTTGTGATTCTGTTTCTGGTTATTTTGGGTAATTTTATTTTTGCTTCTTGGATGCAAAGAAAACAATGTAAAATTCTGCTGTCCTCAAATTGGAATATACAAAATGTGTTTCATGAGTTTTGGGTTCAGTGTGTAGCTGACTTGATTGATAATCTTTCAGAACCTGGTCTGATACAGAAATTCCTGGCTTGGATTGCTATGGCCATTTATTTTATTTGGTGTGCCAGACAGAAATGAGAAGGTGTTTCATCAAAACTCAAAAGGACCTTATTTTCGTTTCTACTCGACACTACCAAGAGATGTCTCTTAATTATATTTTATTTTCAGATGGAGGGCTCATTTCTGGAAATTCCAGTTCTTATGGTTTCATTTGGTTAAACTCTAAACTCTCTTTTGTAGGAGCCTTTGGAGGAACATTTGAATCCCAGGGACTTATTGAAGAGGCAGAACTAATGGCAATTCATAAGGCTTTATGTAAAGCTGATCATGAAGGGTGGCATAATATTCTACTCTGCTCAGACCCCTTCAATGTCATTACTTCTCTTCAACCTCCTTTTGAATTCCCTTAGCGCTGTCTTCATCTTTTTGCTCTCACCAAATAGTTATTGTTAAGACTTGGTTCAATTTCTTTTTGTCCTGTTAATAGGAAGTTTAATTCCTCAACCCCTAACATGTCTCAGTTTGCTAAAAATTCAGATCAGACTGAATTACATTTTGTAAGCCTCCTGGGCTTCCGCCTGTATCAGACTTTGTTTCTCTTTCTGTGTTATAATATAGTTCATTTATATATCAAATATAAAGAAATATATTAACTGAAAGGTGGTTGGGGCAGGGGTTGTAAACTTTCCTAATTAGGGAAATTAGTCGAATAAAAAAATGTAGAAAAAGAAAAAAAATAAAAAGTAAAAAAGCAGTTCTACATTGTCTTAAGCTGCATTTGGCATTTCTTATTTTAAGGACTTGTCTCCTTTTTGCAGTTAAAATGCCCCTCTAAAGACTGAATTTTTAACTGCAAAAAGGAGATAAGTTCTTAAAATAAGGAATGGCAAATGCAGTCTAAAAAAAAAAAACATTTTTAAGAACTGGGAAGTCTAAAATCCTCATGACTGCCCGTTCCCAGTTCTGAGGTCTGACTGTTTAGTCCAGTTGGAGTCTGATAAAACTGGTCCCGGGCTGTCAATTGGACTGTATTTGGTCCGATCCAAAGTGGTCCAATATGAATTCATTACAAATGGACCAGTCCAATCCAATCTGATGAATACCCTGGACCATTTTGGACTAGTCCAATTCAATGTTTGGACTGTCCATTCTATTCAAATTGGTTTTAATTTAGATTGGTTCTTAACTAAAAAACGGACCAGATATTAGTACTATAAATCATTAGGATGGACCAGGTCCAATCCAATCCAATAAATGCTTTGGACCATTAAGTCTGGACTGGTCCAATTCGATATGTCTTATTGGACTGTCCAATCCGTCCAAATTGATTTTGATTTGGACGGGTCCAACCAAAAACCAATCCATTGACACCCCTATTCCCGGCTATAACTAAGCCATTTTTTGTATGCAGTGCTTAGTCTAATGTTTTAATCTCGAATTCCTTTGGCCCTAACTCAAATTAATGCCCAGTTAGGAGAGCCATCTATAGTAGATTGGGTTGAGACATTTTAAATATGATGAACCTGACAAAACTGGTTCAATATGACCACTTCAATATTCCATGGACTGATTGCACACCATAAACCTGTCTTATAATCCAAAAGCATCAATAACTAAAGTATTGTAAGAAAGCATGAGAAATATGAAAATTGAGTAAATGGTCCAATAGTTTTGTCCAACAATCTAATGCCTTAGATTAGCTACTTGTAAGCTCAACCAAGCAAGCCATGCATATCAATACCAAATGGATCTGATCTCTCTCACGGTCTCACCAAGGATTGCTTGGAGCAACATTCTCTAGGAAATTTGTAGGATGTATTTGTTGTTAAACATGCAGATGTGATTGGTTGAATGTACAACTTGTTAAATGTGAAAGTACATGAAAATCAATGTTTTAAAAACCGATTCAATAGTTGATCCATTTTTCTTTTTCTGGGTGACGATTCACCAATTTGACCACTTGGATTGAATGGGTCAGATCATTATGTGAATAGATTAAATCTGGACCATTGACAATAGGTTAATCATTCTACTCTTCTTCATATCTATATCTATATATTAAAATGGAATGTGCCAAGTTGGTATTTTCTTGTTTTCTAGTTATTTTTGAGAAGCACTCATTCAATAACTCATGCCATTAATTCTCTCTCTTCTTCATTATTCCATTAAATTGCCTAAAATTCAGTAACTTTTATCTATATTTATATCCCTTTCAATTTGACTATAATTTTATATATAAATTAGATATATTTATATTAAATTATAATTATCAATAAAAAATAATTATATTAAAATAGAGATATTCAATGGTATATTATTAGGCTAAATAATCTGCTTCAATTTAAAAGATAATTAGTTTTGAAGTTAATTAATAAAGTAATTTATGTTTCAGGATAAATATTATTTAATTCACTCAACAAATTAAACCAGTGCTTTAAAAATTGACTTGGAGGCTAAATAGTTTTTGCCTTTGGGTCACAGGTCAACGGTTCAACTGTCCAGGTTAGACAAATTAAACCATGACACATCTTCCATCTGTATATGTATAATATGATATAATATATTTACATTTTGTGTGTGTATATATTATTTTAGGTTCAAATTGTATTGTTATTTTAGTTTTAAATGTTTATAAATAAAAGAGCTGGAAATTGAAATTTGAGATCACAAAATGAGTCTTTTGTATAGTGTGGCTGCAAAGATCGTGAAAAGTTACCTAAAATAAAACATAGATCATCCCAATTAGACAACTTACCACAAAGTTAAGTCCTCTAAAAGTTTTCAATACATTGTATATTGTAACCCATTACCCAATGACTAGATCAAAAGGGTCAATGGTTTAACTGCTTGGTTTTGACCAAATCAATGGTTTTTTAACAAAATAGTTGGTTTTAGGAAACATAGAATATACTAGAAATAAGGTTGAGTGATGGTTCAAATCGTTTAACCATCAACTATGAGTTGAAAACATTGAATAAAGCATCATAAAAATTATAATCCATTTATATTCCTTTTGAAATAATAAAAATTAATAATCTTGTAAAAATAATTTATTAAATTACTTAAATAAGATAAAAATAATTATTAATTATTATTATTATTATTGATAAAGATAGTTTTATTAATATAATA